CCGGGTTGTCTGGCCAGCCAGTCTCGTCCGGGTCTGGGTGTCTGGATTCCCTCATGGGCTGGGCACACTGGAGCTGCCTGCACCCGCCCTGGCCTGTCTCGCCCGCCTGTCTTTGGCCTCCTGTGTGAGGCGCGAGCCCCACCCAGCCCGGGAGGGAGCCTCACCCAGCACGCCTGCCACTGGGGCCCTGCTGGCCACACACCTAGGTCCCACGGGGCAAAGCCCGTACACGCTGCTGCCCTGCATGGGGTAGGGGGTCTGTCGTGGCAGGCCTGGAGGGGAGCAGTAGGGTGAGCTCGGTGTGGTCACAGAGGACATGGCTCCGAGGCACAGGCTGCCACTGCGTGTCCCCCACCCAGGGCCCCTTGTGGCCCTGCACCTGTGCTCCCCTCCAGAGCAGGCCTGTGTGCCCAGGTCATGGTGCTCAGCTGAGCTGACACGTGCCCAGTGGCCGTGGCCTTCAGGGCCTGCACTGTGTCAGGGCTGCGCTTGAGCTGCCCTCTCTCAAAATGGCTGCTGTGCCCCTCAGTTGGGCCGTAGGGGGAGGCTGCCAGCACCACCACAGGGGTGATTGTGGCCTGAGGGGCTGCGAGCCAAGGGACTGGCCCTCATGGAGCCTTGAGGCGCTGCCCACGCTCTCAGTATGGAGCAGGCTTGAGCTCCATGGGGCCAGCTTGTGCCCTGCCTGGTGCTTGGGCTGGGCCTGGGCACAGGATGGCAGGGGGCTAGGAGCCACGGGACACGCAGGCTGGGCCTGCATGCCCTCCACACTCCCCTGACTGGGCTGCGAGCCCAGATCCGCAGCAAAGGCACCTCTTGGCACGGGGACCCGGGAGGTTCCAGCCAGGGAGCAGTGAGGCCAGGCTCCTGCTCGGGGCCAGGGGCCAGGGGCCCAGGGACTGCCTGGCTGTGGGCAGAAGGCGGTGGGCAACCTCTGTGGCATGAGCAGGGGCCCGTGGTGCTGGCTGGTGCAGTTTCTGGAAGGGGAGTGTGTGGCCTGGATTGGGCCTGCAATGGGTGCCCCCAGCTGGGTCAGGGGGCCAGGCCTGCTGTGGGGGGCCATGGCTGCGGTACCCCCTAGCATGAAGCCTGGCTCTAGCTTTGCCAGCGATCCCTGTGCACCCAGACCGGAGCTGGGCAGGCACTGGCGCCCAAAGGAGCTTGCCCTGGGGCTGCCAAGGAGCACTGTCCAGCCCTGACTGCACTCCAGGCCAGCAGCTCCTCCCAGGTGCCTGGGGGGGCCCTAGGGCCGCCAGGCTGCTGCAGGTCCCGGTGGCATGGGCTGGGCCCTGTCCTGGTAACTGCTGGGGGTCACATGGGCTCTGTGCTGGGTGGGGGCTGCGTCTTGCTGACACTCCCCCCCCTTCTGCCCCCCCAGCTCTCCACGCTGGGCAGTAGCCGGTCGGAGAAGGGCTCATCGTGGTCCAGCCGGTCGCTGGGCGCCCGCTGCCGCAACTCCATCGCCTCGTGCCCCGAGGAGCAGCCGCACATCGGCAACTACCGCCTGCTCAAGACCATTGGCAAGGGCAACTTCGCCAAGGTCAAGCTGGCGCGGCACATCCTCACTGGCCGGGAGGTGAGGGGCGGAGGCCTGGCAGGGGCACGGACTGGCGGGGGGCATGGGGCTTCAGGGCAGGGCAGCTACCCCCCTACCCTGTGTTCAGCAGCACCTTCTTGGCTTGCAGGTTGCAATAAAAATCATCGACAAGACGCAGCTGAACCCCACAAGCCTGCAGAAGGTGAGGGGGGCCCAGGTGGGCCCAGAGCGGGGACATGGACCCCGCCACCAGGACCCAGGGGAGCTCCCAGGGCCCGGTGGGGGGCACCCCAGCTGGAGCAGGCCCTGCCCCACAGCCTGGTACCCCCATGGCCCCTGTCCTGTGCCTCTGCCCCATGCACCCTGCCGGCTGCTCATGCATCCTGCAACCCCCCACAATCTCTAATTAGCAGTAACAGCAGCTGCAGAGAGCATGGAGACCAAGGGCTGCTAATTAGCTCCAGGTTCCCAGGATGAGGCCCCACAGGTGGTGGGGGCAGTGGGACCTGGGGCCTGCTGTGGAGTAGGCAGGGCCGGGTAGAGGGGTTGAGAAGGGTCCTGCCCCCCCATCTCCCCCACAGCTCTTCCGGGAGGTGCGGATCATGAAGGGCCTGAACCACCCCAACATTGGTGAGCTGGGGTGGGTGGGGGGGGCCAGGTGTGGCACTGCCCCATGTCCCAGGGGTGGAGGCCCCCCCACCCTCAGGGCCTGTGCCTGGGCCTTGAGTACTGGGGCAGTGGGGACTATGGGCCCCACGGGTGGGGAGGACCAGGGCAAGGTTGGGGGGGAATGTGTTTGAGGGGGAAGAGGCTAAATGGTAGGGCAGGGATTGGGGTGTCAAGGGCAGGAAGGGGCTGAGGGGGCTAACCCACTGCTGTGCCCCACAGTGAAGCTGTTTGAGGTGATAGAGACGGAGAAGACGCTCTACCTGGTGATGGAGTATGCTAGTGCTGGTGAGACCCCCCCTCAAGGCCCGCATGGCTCTGACCCCCCCATCCCGGCGCTGTAGCTGCCCTCATGCCCCCGTTATGGCCTGCCTGGCCCACTGCGGTAATGGCTGCTCTCCTCAGGTGAAGTCTTTGACTACCTCGTGTCGCACGGGCGGATGAAGGAGAAGGAGGCCCGGGCCAAGTTCAGACAGGTCTGCGCCCACCTGGGGGGTGCACAGGGACCCCCATCAGGGACAACTGGGGGGGTGCCAGCCCCCGCATGTGGTGGGAGGGTATCATGAGGCTGCCCCTGGCCCGGGCTGGACCCCAGGCACCGTGGCCTGGGCATTGCCTGCTGCCCCTGTGACTGCTGCGGGGCATCAGGAGGATCTCTCCAGCTCACGTCCCACCCTGCTGCCTCGCAGATCGTCTCGGCTGTGCACTACTGCCACCAGAAGAACATCGTCCACCGGGACCTGAAGGTGAGACCCGGGCACAGCCCTGCTCTTTGGCCCCGGCTCTCACCACTGAGCCAGCTGGCCCTGCCCCAGCCCCCTGCCCCCCCAGGTAGGCTGGTCCTCATGCCTTCTCCCCACCCCCAGACTCTCCTGGGCATGCCTGACACTGGGGTTCCCTAGGGAAGCAGGGTCCAAATACCCCCTCACCCATCCAGCGCCCCACCTGGGCAGGCCTGGTCCTGACCCTGCTCCTGCCTCCCAGGCCGAGAACCTGCTGCTGGACGCGGATGCCAACATAAAGATCGCTGACTTTGGGTTCAGCAACGAGTTCACACTGGGCTCAAAGCTGGATACGTTCTGCGGCAGCCCCCCCTATGCCGCGCCTGAGCTCTTCCAGGGCAAGAAGTACGACGGCCCCGAGGTCGACATCTGGAGCCTTGGTGTCATCCTCTACACCCTTGTCTCTGGCTCCCTGCCTTTCGATGGCCAGAACCTCAAGGTGGGCCCGGGGGTGGGAGGAGGTGACCCCTCGGTCCGGGGCAGCCACAGGGGCAGAGATGGGGGGAGGGGGTTCACTTGCCTGACCTCCCCCCGCCCCCCAGGAGCTGCGCGAGCGGGTGCTGCGGGGCAAGTACCGGGTGCCCTTCTACATGTCCACAGACTGCGAGAACATCCTGCGACGCTTCCTGGTGCTGAACCCGGCCAAGCGCTGCACCCTGGAGGTGAGGCGGCTGCAGAGGGGCCCCTGGTGAGCAGGCCATGGACAGGCCCCCCAGGGCAAGCCCTCCACAAACGGGGCCCCCGGGGCTGCGCAAGGCATGGCCAGGCCCTGTGGGGCAAGCTGGCCATGAACAGGCTGCCAGGGGTACACTGGCCACGGATGGGCTTCATGGGGCCAGCCACAGGTGGGCTCCTAAGGATGCGGTGGCCATGGACAGGGTAAGACCATGTGGCTCCAGGCTGTCCCCTCAGCTCCTCTCTAGTGGATCCTGTGACCCAGACCCCCCACCCCACCCCATGGCTGCCCCCCACCCGCTCTAGCATGGGGCTGTA